GGTGCGATAGACCGGCCTGCGGGATGTAATGTAAGTTAATGCTGTTAAAATGATAGGAAAAATGACAGCGAAATCAGCAACAAACAACAGTAATTGACTTTTAAAGCTCAAAGTGATTCAATGGTTGTATAATCAGATTTAATTATATCTAAATCTAATCTGTGACTTTGATAATCAGGATATGTCTGCTATTTTATGTGTGTGTGTATGTCTGTTCTTTTTTTTTTAAAAGGAAGTTCAAACAAAACTGAAAATTTACTCATCATTTTCTCTTAAGATTGGATGAGTTGGTTTCTTTTGATGAACACAAAGAACACATTTTGAGGAATGTTGGTGACCAGACAGGTAACTGGAATGTAACATTAAATTGGAAAGTGGTTCTCTACTACTGATTAAACATTTATTTTTTTAATTTCTGCTGTGTTCAACAGAAGGAAGAAACTCATACAGGCATCGTACAAGTGGAGGTGAGGAAATGTTGACAGAATTTAAATTTTTGGTTGAACTATTCCTTTAGTGGATAATTGCCGTTTTATTTTAACAGTTAATAAATTAAAAGTTAATTCACAGATAAGCATGTGTTTACACCACAGTTTTCATATCTAAACATTTTTAAGGTTTTTGTTTGCTAAAAAGGTTTTTTTTGTCAAAATACTGTTGTCATACTGTTGTGAGTTTGACAACAGTATTTTGACAGTCATTCAATAGTGCCACATTATAAGCAACCATTTCCTGTATAAAATGTAACCAAAGCAACCTTATTTTATTTTGTTACCTACATTTATTTACAGGTGGATTAATGTTTGTATATGTATTTATTAATTTTGTATTAATTTAATATTTTGTCTTTTAGCTGCTGTGAGAAAAAAAATCGTCTGACACAACATGCTCCCGATCAGGAGATAGAAGCAACTATACAAGATGGCTTCAGCTTGCTCCTGATAGAGATGGAGGAAGGAGAGAGCGCTTGGGGAGAAAAGAGGGGCTGCAGAGCTGGACTTCACTTCCTGAGAACTATTTTTTTCTCCCTCACACATACAAAAATTCTGATGTGTAAATTTGTTTTAAGTAATTGTTTTAATTTGCTCTATGTTTGTTGAGAGTAAAATTACATTATAATATGGTTACATTTCAGTGCTAGATTCATTCATAGATTAATTTAGTTAGAATTGGAAAATGTTGTATACTTGGCTGTTCAGGCAACTAAAATAGTGTTCACACAACTCTAGCTGTATTACTACAATATTAATACAATAAGTAAGCTACTGTTTAAAGGAACACTCCACCGTTTTTTCATATTAAACTTTTTTTATTTTTTTTATTAAACACCATTAATATATTAAACAGACCATTAAACTATGTAATTGCCTTATAACATAATGGATAACTATAATGTATGGCAGAATAGCACTTGATAGCACTTCAACTCGGTGCAGTAATATCATCACTCATAATCCTCTCCCGATGATATAGTTATATTACTGCGCCGAGTCCAAGTGCTATTCCGCCATACATTATTATCCATTTTACCCGCTTAGAAAAGCGCCATGTTTTATTTTGTTTCACCATACTTGGTCGTGTAACTGTATTTAAATAGGGAAAACGTGGAGGTGTTTGGTCGCTTCTAACTTCATCTCTGTTTGGATCCTAATGAATGAACTGGGCTAAGCTAAGTGCTATCAAAGTGTTGCCGCGCGCCAGAGCGATTGAGTGCCACACTGAGACGAGAGAGGTATGTATCAACTCGTCTTAGTTAAGGGAATAACATAGTTTAATATGAAAAAACAGTGGAGTGTTCCTTTAAGACAGACCAGAACATTTTGAAATTAAATGCACTTTGAGGTAATAGGATGTTGCGCTTTGAATGTACAAAAAAAAAAATAGCCTTCACACAGTTACACAATTCTAGATGTGAATTTTCATTATTATTAAATGTTTTGGCTTGTGCATTACTACAATAAGTAACTGTTAAAGACAGACAAGAATATTTTGTGCACTATATGCACTTTTTTGAGGTGCTAATAAGATGATATGCTTTGAATGTACTAAAATAGCCTTCACACAGTTACACAATTCTAGATGTAATTTAAAAATGTATTTTTGGCGTGTACATTATTGTTAAATAAAGCAATTTTCAGAATTGAATTTTCCTGTGACTTATTTGTTCATATGGTTTGGTAAGATTAGGCTGGGTTATGGCTCAGTTTTGGGGTTTCTGGTGTTGATAAGGTTAACTTATGGCTGAGACTTGGTACCAAAAATAAAACCTGTTTTGGTCCTATTCAGGGCCAGTTATGGCCCATGTGTGACTCTTGTCCTTAATCCAGTTCTGGGCCACTTCAGGGCCAGTTAAGGGTTAACTGGCTGAGATTCGGGCCAGTTATGGCCCATGTGTGACCCTTGTCTTTAATCCAGTTCTGGGCCACTTCAGGGCCAGTTAAGGGTGATTAACTGGCTGAGATTCGGGCCAGTTATGGCCCATGTGTGACCCTTGTCTTTAATCCAGTTCTGGGCCACTTCAGGGCCAGTTAAGGGTGATTAACTGGCTGAGATTCGGGCCAGTTATGGCCCATGTGTGACCCTTGTCTTTAATCCAGTTCTGGGCCACTTCAGGGCCAGTTAAGGGTGATTAACTGGCTGAGATTCGGGCCAGTTATGGCCCATGTGTGACCCTTGTCTTTAATCCAGTTCTGGGCCACTTCAGGGCCAGTTAAGGGTGATTAACTGGCTGAGATTCGGGCCAGTTATGGCCCATGTGTGACCCTTGTCTTTAATCCAGTTCTGGGCCACTTCAGTACCGTCATTCTTTGCGGTACTTGGGCCGAGGGAAAAGTGATTGTGTGGCCCGGAGCTGGGCCAGAAAACATTTGCTATGTGGGAACTACATGGCAAAGTTACATCAGTAAAATTGGGGAGCATCAAAATAAAGTGTTAGCAGATATTAAGCAGACAGTCTTCTAATACTATAATGACTGGTAGTTGACATAGTTGCAAAGTTACTTATAGTTAGTAGAATGTCTAAAGTAGCATTGTTTTCTTTTTAGTAAATATCATATAACATGATTTTGTTTGTGATATTTTAAAACCCCATTCATAGGACCAATTTCAGCATTTTAGCTTGCTGAATTTTGTTATATGCTTAATAAACTCCATCATCAGCATATAGGGCTGGCTGAATTGCAGTCATCTCAGTAACAGTGAGATGACTCTTACTATCCCAGCAAAAACTTTGCAAAAGTTAGATTTTTTCTTTTTCTGTAATAGCAATTTCATTTTCACTGATATTTTGTTTTTATCGGATGTTTTTTTATTATTATTATGTATTGTTATTAGGCTATGTATTGTTATATTTATTGTTTATGGATCCAACTTATTGCTAATATAAATGCACCTTGAGTCCAACACAAAAATCCCCTAAAGTATTTATTTCCATATCTCCAATTTCACGCGTCTATAAAATGTATTCCCTTTTTTGAAAAGAAAAATTCACCAAATTGTACACACAGCAAAAACGAGTATGTACCAATTTTTAAATAAGGTGACATTCCTGCAAACTATTATAACGAACTTTCAGGGAATTTTTTTCTTTTTTTAAATAAAGACTGAAAGAGTTGTCGGAAGCTTAGTGATGGTGACTTTGAGGTCATGAGTTTAGCTTTTACATCTGCCAATTGTATTTAGGGTTCAAAATTCATAAAAGTTGTGTTAATTTGTGAAGATTATCATGATGAACAAAACATGCAAGAATCATAAACTTTTGATAGTCACAGAGCTTATTTTCTGCAATAACCCACTGATCCTATTGGGTTTTTGTCAAGGGAACCAGGGTGATGCTAACATTGAAAAAACAAAAACATTTAAAAGCGTACTTATTTTGAAGAGATGCACAGTCAACTTGCTCTCGTGGTCATGGACCGGATTTGACTGTTCCAGTATGGTGGACGGCTTACGTATAGCATCCCACAGAAATAGACACTATATTTGTGTGTGTCTGTGTGTAGCTATATATAAATCTTTTTTTTAAATCAAATTGTGCTTAAATATGTTAAGCAAAACATTCATTTTAGCATTTAATTCAGACAACAACAACAAAAAACATTTTATACACACTAAAATGCAGACACTGAATGAGACACTACAGTACAAATAGTTTAAGTGTTCCTTACTGTCCCTTAATTTCCTTTAAAGAACCAAGAACGTACCTTATTTTGGCAAACCTATGTGTCTTTTTTGCAGCCTCTAGTTTACTAGACAAACTAGACAAACTAGCTAAACTAGTTTGTCTAGTTTAGCCTCTTCCTTGTTGTTTGTGAAATAGATTGTACCCAAAAAATCCTCTGTATTTTCAAATTTTTTCCAATTAATTTCATATAGTGATAATTTCTGACCACACACAATACAAGTGTTAGGCTCCCAATTTTTTAGGACATTTTTTAATCATGTCCAAGATTGTTTTGTGTTTACATGGCAAGTGCCACAAAAACCACCAAGATTCATACCATTCTGATGAAGTAAAAATAATAATCATAATAATAAATCAAAAAATTCAAAAAGCTATTTTTTACGAATAGTACCAGAGGGTTAATAAACAAAGTATACATCCTTGACTCAACACTCTCTTCTTCCATGTCCAACACATGACCATCAAGTGTGTGGAGCAAATGTTGGTTGCTGTGTGTTATCTTTAGAAAGTGGTCCCTGTGTTTTAATGGCTCATGTTTGAGCAACAGCTGTTGAAAAAAACTGTGTAATGGTGTATGGGACAGTATATGTTTATGCTGATGGACTGCAGCATTTGTACATTTTGTCAGAGTGCAGCACGTTCTTTCAACCAAATGTCATCTGGGTAAACACCACATGTCTACAAAGATCGAATGTCACTAACCCATGAGAAGGTACAATCCAAAGAGTCAAATGTTCACTCGGAAATGTCTTGGAAACTTTCCTTGAATAGAACGGAATGAGAGGGGTGGGCAGAAAAAAAGATCTGATGTCATATATGAAAGCAAGGTCTTCACATTGTGGAGCTGTCATTCAAACTTTGCACAAGAAGAGAGGGAACAAGAGTGGATTAAATAACTGGAAGACAGAGATTAAGGAGCAAAGGATAGCAAATAAGGTACTGTGCAATGTGCTTCAACCATGAATTGTTTGCACCTCAGTTTTCAGGGCTAATGTCATTATACAGAAGTGATATGGGGGATATATTTGTTTTTAATGACCCTATACAAGTTCAATTAAACCAACTAATTATATATTAAATATTTTAAATGTGAGGGAACAGAAAACTAAACCTGGTTAAGGTATTTATCTGACAAAATTATTTCGCAAAAAAGGCAAACTACAGAAACAGGTTTTATTTTACTTTGAAAAAACAAATGTTAATGTTATTAATATTTTGTTGGTTTCTCTCTTGTTTGACAGCCTGGCCAAAAATTATATAGGCCTACACATGATTTGGCATGATTCACTGCGTTATCACAAATAAAACAATTGACTGAATGAAGGGGGTGAAAACTTTTTGAATTTGAAGATTAGGGTAAATTGTATTTATTTTGTCTGCTGGGAAACAATATCTTCTGTATCTCCGGAAGGGCAGTACAAAATATTATCTTTAAGAAAAATGTACTCATCATTATCCTTTTCAAAAGTTTTCGCTCCCCGGCTCTTAATGCATTGTGTTTCCTTCTAGCATCAGTGAATGTTTGAACCTTTTGTAATAGTTGTTCATGAGTCCCTCAATTGTCCTCAGTGTGAAAAGATGGATCTCAAAATCATACAGTCACTGCTGGAAAGGGTTCAAATATTCAAAAGATGCTGGAAAACCAAAGAATTCGCAGGACCTGGAGGATTTTTTTTGAAGAACGTTGGAAAAAACAAGACAAACAAGGGACTCATGAACAACCATCAAAAAAACAAACAAAAAAAAAAACACAAAAAAAACAGCCGTAGATAATCCAGGAAAAGGCACAGTATTAAGAATCACTTGTACGTACATTTTGAACGGGGTCATTTTTATAAATTCAACTTTTATTTTGTGTTGTTATATGTGTTAACATCTTTTATGTAAAATATCTTATTCAGGACAGTAATAAACAAAAAAATAACATGAATTTTGTATGATCCCTCTTATTTTGTTAAAATAATTAACATTTTGACATTATATATACACTCACCTAAAGGATTATTAGGAACACCATACTAATATTGTGTTTGACCCCCTTTCGCCTTCAAAACTGCCTTAATTCTACGTGGCATTGATTCAACAAGGTGCTGAAAGCATTCTTTAGAAATGTTGGCCCATATTGATAGGATAGCATCTTGCAGTTGATGGAGATTTGTGGGATGCACATCCAGGGCACGAAGCTCCTGTTCCACCACATCCCAAAGATGCTCTATTGGGTTGAGATCTGGTGACTGTGGGGGCCATTTTAGTACAGTGAACTCATTGTCATGTTCAAGAAACCAATTTGAAATGATTCGAGCTTTGTGACATGGTGCATTATCCTGCTGCAAGTAGCCATCAGAGGATGGGTATGGTGGCCATAAAGGGATGGACATGGTCAGAAACAATGCTCAGGTAGGCCGTGGCATTTAAACGATGCCTAATTGGCACTAAGGGACCTAAAGTGTGCCAAGAAAACATCCCCCACACCATTACACCACCACCACCAGCCTGCACAGTGGTAACAAGGCATGATGGATCCATGTTCTCATTCTGTTTACGCCAAATTCTGACTCTACCATCTGAATGTCTCAACAGAAATCGAGACTCATCAGACCAGGCAACATTTTTCCAGTCTTCAACTGTCCAATTTTGGTGAGCTCTTGCAAATTGTAGCCTCTTTTTCCTATTTGTAGTGGAGATGAGTGGTACCCGGTGGGGTCTTCTGCTGTTGTAGCCCATCCGCCTCAAGGTTGTGCGTGTTGTGGCTTCACAAATGCTTTGCTGCATACCTCGGTTGTAACGAGTGGTTATTTCAGTCAAAGTTGCTCTTCTATCAGCTTGAATCAGTCGGCCCATTCTCCTCTGACCTCTAGCACCAACAAGGCATTTTCGCCCACAGGACTGCCGCATACTGGATGTTTTTCCCTTTTCACACCATTCTTTGTAAACCCTAGAAATGGTTGTGCGTGAAAATCCCAGTAATTGAGCAGATTGTGAAATACTCAGACCGGCCCGTCTGGCACCAACAACCATGCCACGCTCAAAATTGCTTAAATCACCTTTCTTTCCCATTCTGACATTCAGTTTGGAGTTCAGGAGATTGTCTTGACCAGGACCACACCCCTAAATGCATTGAAGCAACTGCCATGTGATTGGTTGATTAGATAATTGCATTAATGAGAAATTGAACAGGTGTTAATAATCCTTTAGGTGAGTGTATATTGTAACATTTGTGTTTGCTAGACGTTAGTGGAACATCCAAATAGTTCATGTGAGGATGTGGTTCCTGTGTCACCTTGAGGGGAACTGACTTCATATACATCCATTAAAGTCATTTTACTCCAACTGTTTAAAAGTTATTAAGCAGAAATGGCTTGAAAAAGAGAATTTAATTCTTGCATGTTTCTAGCGTGTCATGGATTGAATGGCAGATAATTCTTCCAATAATGAAAACATACTCTAAGAGAACACAACATCAACAGTTAAAGGTTGTAGCAACAAAGATTTTACTGTATAACAGAATCTAATGAGAAACACCACTTACTCACTACTCTTAGTAGTACTGTACAGTAAGAAAGACATTTCTCTCCCCCGGAAATGAACATTTCTTAGAATTGATAAACAATTAACACAGAGTGTTCACGGGACAACAGGTGGATTGATTGTAATATTAATTTTACTACATTAAGTTAATTCTATTAACTGATCCAAATATTCATAATCAATTATAACAAGTTATGATTGATTATTAATATTTCTTTAATTTAAAGAATTTGGAGCTAATTTGCTACATACATGCAAGTACTTTATAGGTACACTATAATTACCGAAAGTTATGCTGTAAATTCGTCTTAATTAAGCAGTACTTTCCGGGCTGTAATCTAAAGCATTACCGAAATTACTATTGGGTAGATTGGCAGTGGGCGGGATAACACAGACCAAAACAAAAACAGACATTCGGACACTGAACGCACATTTCAAAGTAAAATAACTGGCTGTAGCATTGTTTTTCTGACAAAACTATGTGAGCATTTTTCCTAAATATGCAAACGTATTATGGTAGCCCATTTTAGTACAGTCAAAAAAATGACATACAGCACCTTTAAAGCTAGGACAGGCAATGTTTTTCAAAAACACTTTTTGTTGAAAAAATCTTCACATCCTGATAGCAATTAATAATAGAAGTGGTTTAAATATTTAATTTTTTTATATATTCTGTGGAAGTCTCAGAAACATAAAATGTGTGTCCAATCAATGCGATCGATCCAGGATTTTAACTAAAGTCTTCTTGCATAATAAATGGCATAGGCTATTTTTTTTTTTTTTTATCATTAAGTGCATTATACGTCCCTGATTATTGCAGTCTTGTTTTATTGCACGTCTGTTATCTGCAGGTCACACCAGAAAGTATCTGAAGCATAATACACGGAGATAATATGACTGAAAACGGCTGTGAGCACCGTGAGAGGGTGCTGACGATGGACACGATGAACCCGAACATTAAACGCGTGGAATACGCTGTTCGGGGTCCCATAGTCCAGAGAGCAGTTCAGATCGAAAGAGAACTCAAGATGGTGAGTGTCAGTTCATCTACTCATAAAATCATTGAAATTGTATAGGATATTCAAACAAAGAGTAGCCTAGCCTATGTTCTCTTCTTACGGTCACAATCAGCCATGCAATACAATCAGATCGAAATTGTATATATTGTAAAGTCGCTTTTAAAAGTGGACGCGCCGTCTAAATACAGCATATGCACACCATATTCTACTGTTTATTTTCCAAATGGTATGAAAATACCATGATGGCATAGTCTACAAGCGATTCACTCAGTAGCTGACCTCATTGTTGCAGTTAACACACACAAATAATAGTTAGCCTATTATTTATTAAACCAATTTTGGATTAGTGTTAACAATAAGCATCCTGAAAGAATAAAATGCACAACATGCCTGAATGAGCATATGAAATAAATAAATACATTTCTAAGGACAATTGAGAAATAAGATTTGTAGTCACTAAATAAAATAGTTGAATATGAATGATATTAATTTAAAATATACATAGCTTACTATAGCTATAATGCGTACGAAAACACATTAGTGCATAATAAAACCAATTGAACGTAATTTCTTACACTTGATGGTCGATTATGATTTCACTTTTTAAACTTTAGATAGTGTGTAATGTTGATGTTTGAGCTTAAACAACATCTGCAAAGTTATGACACTCAAAGTTCAAAGCAAAGGGAGATATTTTTTTTTACAGAAATCACTTTTTAAGGACCACAACAAACGGCTAGTAGGGACTACAATGAGCTTCTTCACGGATTAGTGACATCACTAACCCTAAAATTTACATAAACCCCGCCCCCGGGAACACGATTTATAGATTATCATGACATAATATCAATGACTAGAAGATTTATCAGCTACATAAATTCATCAACTAACCATTCAGAAATATCCTGTTGCATTCTACATGTTGTCACTTCTTCTTGAGTCTCTCCATCTTTGTCCGACTCCGGTTTGAATATAAAAGTCTAAAAGTTTTTGAAATTTTCAGTGCATGTCTGTGTGAGGTAATTGGAGCTACTAACACACATGCTCTTGAAGCTCCACCCCTGTGCCAGGGCAGGAGCTCATTTGCATTTAAAGGTGCTATCAGCGATTGTGGGTGACGCCACTTTGAAGCGAGATCCTAAACAAACCTGTTCAGCATAATGTCGCCTACGTTAGCTAGAGCTACCCAAGTTTAGTCGAGCTTCACTCATTTTTTTTAAGAAGGATATTTTCAACACAAAAAATTCAGCATTAGCAGCTTCTCACCTGTCAAGAAGAAACCTCGGCGTCCGATTTTAAATTTTTCAATTCTTTTAGTTCTCTCCACCTTTCAAAAGCCTTCCCGATCACTATTCATGTCTTTGAATAAACACGATGGTATTCCCTAATCCTCCTCCTCCTTTTGGGGTTTGACTCAGACATGTTCACATTCGGTCGTTGATAGACGATGGCCTCTTCTTCAGATCCGCCTCCGACTTCGCGTGCAGCCGTGGACGAGCGCAAAACCTCACAACACTCACGACCTGTCGGTGATTGGTTGGAACACTGTTTATTTTGGTTTTGAGTGTTGGTGAAATTGTTTTTGTGTGCAGATTTTAGAGCCTAGGCTGCCTACAGAGACGCGGTTTTTGGACGGCATGCTTATGGGGCGGGCAGCTAGCGGATCGTTAGGAAAGATTAGATGAATGTGAACATTTATTTTTGGGCCTGAAATCGCTAATAGCACCTTTAAGGGACAAACACTGTGCGTTTTTTCTCACCCACAAAAAGTGACAAGTTTAACATGTTATAAAAAAATATCTGTGGGGTATTTTGAGCTAAAACTTCACACACACACTCTGGGGACATCAGAGACTTATTTTACATCTTGTGAAAATTGCATTATATGACCCCTTTAAGTAATAAATAAAAATATTAATAGCCTATCAAGTGAATAACTGAACATCATTATTTTTTTTATTAATTTTTGGACATTTAACACTTAATTTAACTCATAATTACATTAAAGATGATTGAGAATATAGGGCAAGTGAAAATGTGTGTAAGAACAAAGCAATTAGGCTAATCGCTTATCTGTTTGCTAGCCTAGTATATAAGCTAACTAATACAGACATAAATAGTCGTTATAATGTAGTTGAAACAGCATTTATCATAACATGATTTGGAAGATTTGTAATCAGGCGCTAAAGAGAGTACCTATTAAAAGCAATTTGAACCAATTTAATTTGAACCAATTAGGACTTGGGGTCCTAAAGGAGAGACGATATCGGGGGGGACCCAATTTGTCACTACACCGGACGCGAGTGTCGTGATGCAACACACAATAAACTGATGCCTTGTTCTGTTTCTGACATACTCCAAAGCGCCTGCGCTTCTTTTTACATGAAGAACAAATGGATTTGCAATGCAACTTTGCATCCAGTGTAGACATCCTTTAGCTTTTGCGGCAAGGTGCGACGCGATAATGGTTGCGTCCGGTTTAGACACGGTTTTGCATGCTATATGCAGCATATTAAGTAATATTGCAATGATGTTCGAATGCATCAAGTAATATATTAATGATGTTCGCATTGGTTGGGGGGTGGGGGGTGCGAGTGAAATTAGATAAATGTAAATAAATAAAAATAAATAAACCCCGGCTAAAGTGGCATAATCTAATTATGAGATTAAGAGAGTCAAAGTAGTCATAGCAAAATAGTCAAAAAACTGGTAATTTGTGTTTATTGCTGTAAATGATAGATTATACCAGGGGCTTTGAGATCAAATTTTCATTTATAACATAATAAATACAGAAATTGAGAATTTTATTGACTACGTTTTTATTATTTTGAAAAAAATACCATAGTAATATTTAAATTGCCAAAGCTTAAACTTTTGTGAAGATGCAGCGCTTGCCTGTAAACTGTCCCGAGCATCGTTTATGTTTGTTCAAGTTCATGCATTGTTAGAATAAATAAAAATGTTACCGGCCAACTGGCGAGTGATAACAGTTCATATACTCGCCAACTAGGGTTGGGTATCGGTTGGGTTTTATCCGATACCAGTACCTACTCGGTATTTTTTAAACGGTTCTGGTGCTTAAACGGTTCTTGAAACGGTACTTAAGAAAACGAAACCGCACACACTTTATCAAAAAATAATTCCCTTTTATTTACAGGGCCAAACAATATTAACTTAAATCTTTAAACAATATAAATACAAGTAACATATGGTAATAATAAAACCAATATAAAATAAAACATTTTACATTACATTTTACACATATACATAATATCAAATAAAACAATATTGTATCAAACAATGTAATAATACCATAGACGAATAATACTGGAGATTAATAGAGATTACTAGCACTAGCAGGCAGAGCTGCCAACTCTCACGCATTGACCGTGAGACTCACGCAATTGACCCTTTTCACACGCTCTCACGCCACACATCCATTTTCTCACGCAGAGAAAAATCGCGGACAAAGAGGACACCGATAGACAAGACAGAGAAGGTTACTTTTGATATGGAACAAATCCACAGCTGTCAGATTCTGTCAATATTTTTACGAGATTCACACAATAAATAACGTTTTGGCTCTTTGAAATGTGACAGATCGCTGTAGCGCGTCAGTTCAAACGGCACGTGATACAGCAGCCTACAAATCCACTGCTTCTTAGCTACGCAGCGTTGAGTGAACCTATGAAAGAGAACATCTCTGGTTACTGGTGTAACCTATGTTCTCTCAATAGGGAACGAGACGCTGCCAAGCTCCTCGCGCTGCCGACCAGCTTCCTTTTTCGGCAGAGAAATCTGAGGAGCAGATGGCGCGCGCGCGCCAACATTATATGACAACGTAAGCAAGGGGGTAATCCATCAGCCGGAAGTTGAAGCTGCCTCCGGGGGCCGCCATTGTAGCTGGCTATCACCTGCTGTTAGCATCCCATTGACTCCCATTCATTTTGGCGTCACTTTGACAGCGAATAACTTTACATCTGAGGCGTCCAAAGACTCCATTTGTCCATTATTTATTTCTAAAGAAATACGACAATGTATAAAAGGCTCCATTACTTTGTATCTTACGTTATGGCCCCGTAGAAGCCATTCTTGTAAAAATAGGCTAACGATTGCGTCATAACCACGGGACGCTCTGTCACACAGTAGAGAAGTTACCGTATAGACAGAAGTAGAAGCTCGTAGGCAATCGTTTACTGTCTATGAGGCAATCGGGTGGACATGGAGGCATAAAGTCAAGGGAGAAGCCCATAGATAGAGAGTCCATAAAAGCAACGGGACAAAATATTTCAACAACAGATTTGTTTCAGATTTCAATTCAGATTTGTCCCGGCACAGCTACTAGAAGGTCAGAACGGTTGCTCACGTGACAACTACGTCGTCAAGCTCAGTTTGAGCCTGCGCAGAACGCTTGGCTATCAGGAAGTGAGTGCCCATGTTGGGCTTCAACTCTCTCCGTTGAAATCAACGGGGTCGCTGTGTCCATTTCTTTTACTGTCTATGGACGTAAGTGCGTCGAGGCGGCGCCCGCGCCATCTACCAATTGGCTTGATTCTATATGGAATTCAGACTATCGGCACACCCAGAGGGCGTTCTGACGCGTAATTTTACACGTGAAATGCAGCCAAACCTTGCGAGCAAGAGCGCGCATGCGAGACAGAAGAGACTGTGCGTGTGTGTGTGCTTGTGTGCCTAATTAAGTCAGGCACCGAAATCAGGCACCGAAATTGTCGTTCTTATTCGGTCTGGTTACTACCGTTTACGTCGGAACCGGTTCCCTATTGGCACCGAGTTTCTGTACCCAACCCTATCGCCAACGTTAATTTTTACTCGAATTTGGCACTTTGCAAGTGTTAATTTTAAGCCCTGCATACAAGTATTAAATATGCAGCAGTACTAGAAGTGTCACAAACTGCTCTGACATGGTTGAGGATCCACATGCAGCTTTACTAGTGTAGTCTAGAATCGTAATCGTAAAACCGGCAAATGGTCAAAACATAGGGCACTGGGCA